AAATATACATTCATTTTTAAAAATTGACACTTATTTTGGTACAAATTCTAATAGTACTTAGTGGGTTTTTGAGATTGCTTATTTGAAACAACTTATTCTTTTTCATAAAAGTTCTTATCAACTTATTATAAGTTAGAATGTTCTAACTTTTTCAAAAACTTCTTATTACCGGTTTGACACCGGTATAATTTGTTTATACAAACACTCAAAAGTGCTTATTACCGGTATCACGCCGGAATAAGTCAATAAGTTGTTTTTATAAACTATCTGAAACACCCCCTCAATTATATATACTTTTAAGGCATTTACACTTGCTTAAAAACATTTAGAATTATGAACTTTGGTGTTCAGAAAGATAGATATATGTAAATAAAACAATTAAAGTTCTAGACTTAAAACATGAAAAATCGTCTGAATCTGTTCTATTTTAAGTGTGAAGAAATTGACTCGATATGGATGTTCATCGTTTCCGATCTTTGTTAGTATTTACTTGTTCCAACATATTATTAAGTGTATACGTATACAGATAAAGATTCTACTTTTATAATAAGTATTATTTATAAAATAAAATTAATTATAATACAAATACAACATAAAGTAAAATAAGAGTTTTTTTTTTATAATTTCAACAATACAATTAAACTTTTTATGTTCCTTCATTGTTAATCATCAAAAATTCAAGTTTAGGATTTAATATGTTATTGTAGATGACATTTGTTTTCTAAGAGGTACTGAAGTCTGAAAGCTGAAATAATAACACTGTTTATTTTTGTAAACTGACAAACGTCTGAAGTTTGATATCTGAATCAATCGTTTGTTTTTGTAAAATTTGGTGCAAACATTTTGCAAAATTCTCTTGATTTTATTACAATATCTATTGCCGAAATTTATCTCAACAAACAAAGTCGTAGTCTTTTAGCTTTCCAATGAAGATGTCTTGTGATGGCACCCATGGAATCACACCGATGATACATTTAAAAGTCGTAATTTTTTGTTCTCACTACGTCACACGATTGAGCAGTGACATGGGACCCGTATAGACTTTACATAGATCCGTCCCTGCAAGCATCGACACAAAATCTGAATCATAACTCGATTTTGAACAAACTTTTCACTCGATCTTGAAGAATCGGACGGTTGGTTAGAATTAATGTTTCTCAAGATATAGAAGAAGATAAGATGGTGACGATACAGAATAATATTTACTTAGAGGAAAAAGGACATAAGGTCTAATTGTAAAATTACAGTTATACCCTTATGTGATTTTCATAATACAAATTAAAAAAAAAAAAAATCAACACTAGCTATTATAATTTAAATAGTAGAATATTGCAAAAGGACATTATTATCCCTGTTGCCAATAAAGCAAGTGTACACTCACCCAACCTTCAAGATACCCTGAAATGTCATTTGGATTAAGGGATTTTCTATATTTTGTATAAAACAATGAACCAATATATAGATATACAATTTTGTAAGCATAGTTTAAAGATGGGTAAACTAATAACTTATTTGTTCTTTGATCCTTTATGTGCGACAATATCTGTCCGTAAGTACATAATTTAATTTTAGCAGTTTTAAACTATCGTCAAGATCTGTATTTAACCAACAAACCTAAGTGGATTAAGCACGCGTCCAAGTAAATATATAAATTTCGTAATAATTGTGGGATTATGATAAATATATATATATATATATATATATTTTTAATAAATAAAAAAATAATATTAAAATGAATGGGTATATGTGCAAAAGTAGATTATATTCTGAAATGTGCTTTGGATTAGTGTTATATTCTTGTTCGTCCCCCTTTTTACAGGCTTTTTCAGTTTTTTTTCTTTTTTCTTTTTTGGTTTGATTTATTGAAAATTGTAGCAAACATTTGAATTTATTGTGCGTGGAGATATTGTATGTGGGTTTGTCTTGAAATTTGTATCCTTCAATTCTTATTGGTTCGTTTTTATTTTATGTTGTGGGTCCCCCAACAAAGTCTTTTCTTGGTATTTGTACTCCCTGTACCCATATCTTTATCACTTCTTCTCTTTGTTTTGGCATAATTACATCAATACGTTTTTTTTTTAAATTAATTCAAATAAATAACATATACAGATGTATATGGACAAAACAGTATTATTTTTTTTTTTAAGTTTTTGTTAAATGTTTTATAATATAGTATAGATTATTGAACAGTCTACGAACATTTTAATAAACATGGCGTTTTATTATTCATATGGGAATTTTCACATTAAATAGTACTTCAAAATGCACGCTTCTTTATTCCTTTTATCGTTTTCTGTCAACGACTAGTAGTTATATTTAAACCCCATGTTATTTACATGTAAAAATATAAACACTACATGATTATACCGGGTGCTATTAAAAGTTCGTTTAAAATGCAAAGAGTTGGGTTTCGGTGAGAAGAATGAGAAGAAATTTTCATCATTCGATTAATCCTAATTGAAGAGAAAAACTAGATCAACACTAATGAGATATACAAGATCAAATGTTCTTTTATAATGCAATTCATGGGTTGTTTTAGGATTTAAAGTGATCAAGGGGTCCAAATCCCTTCTTACATTTTTCTCAACTTAACTTCTATATTCACACGATCCTTCCTTAAAATGTGAAATAGTTGATTTTTTTTATCCTCACCGTTAAAAACTTATATTGAAATGTTAAAGAGGGGTATCTTGAATTACTTTTATGTATTTTAATAACAATTTTTAGATATTCCACTAACTTTTTTTCCGATTACGATATTATTTTTCTAAATTTTAATATATACTTAGAAAATGATTTTTTTTCCCTAATAATTGCTTGATCTTCAAGGAATCCATGATGATAATTCAAATTTTTTGTCTAGTAGTTCTTGTTAAATTTAGGAATATGTTGGAGTAAAAAACAAGTAAAGTTCGAGATTATAAGAACCTAGTAATATATGGAAGAATAGACAACCCAGGTATAAGATTAAAAAACCATCCTACATTTTGTTAAGACAGCAAATGTGAAAGGCCCAAAGGGTTTGTTATTTTTTCGGATTTTTATTGGGCCTCGAGTTGGGCTGAATATCGTGGGCCTAAAGTTGGGACAGTTTTCACAGTAGAGTGTAGACTAGTAAACGCAAACTCTTTTCTAGATCCATTAAGTCTTCGATATCCATATTCAAGTAGAACCGTACGATATCTATAATTTAGGGGTGCTAAAAAACCCGACCAACCCAATCTAACTCAATTCAACGTGAAATAATTTAACCTGATGTATAATCGAGTTGTAAAATTTTCAAACCGTAGGTATTAGGTTGATATTGGGTTACTATTATTTGAACTCAACCCAACCCGATGAACTCAATATCCTTTTATGTCTCATATTTAATATGATTGTTGAATTTATATTAATATATGCATTAGACAATAACACTATCACGTACGCTTTTCATATACACATCTTTCAATCTATTCGCATCTCTATATAACTCATTCATATATATGTTCAGTAATTGTAAACATATATATGTAAATTGAGAAAATTAACTGAATGTGATATACGCAAAGAAGTATGAATAAGTTATATCAAATGGTTGATGATGAAAAATAAATTATGAATAGAGAAATAACATATTCAAGGTTAGAAAAATATTTTAATGTACCAAAGTATCAATTTGACTAACCCGACCAACCTGGTTTGGGTTGGGTTGCACTTTCGTTTGGGTTGGGTTGGGTTAAAAAAATTCAAACCACAAGCATTGGGTTGGGTTGGGTTGATCAAATGTCTTCAACCCGATCAACCCAACCCATGAGCACCCCTAATCTATATGGTTGGATTCCGTGAGAATAATTTTTTTTAGTGAAGACATTCGAAACATATTAGAAGAGTACTTGTGCAATGCATCGAGACACATCTTGATTTCAATGTTTCGTTTTATTTCTTTTTTATGTCGATATAATACGTTTTTATGTGCTTTTGAGAATGCGATAATGTTTTTATTTTTGAATAAAATATAAATCTAAAAATATCATAATTTTTTTTTAAATAAATATCTATATCAGTATGAAATTAATCTTTTTAAAAGTTCTTTGTTTTGGTGTAATTTTTTAATT